CTTTGAACTGCGATCCTCCTGATCTCTGCCTCCTGAGTAGCAGCTAGGATTACAGGCATGAGCCACCGGTATCCAGCCCTGCCATCAATTTTTTTGTCTCATCCTGGTGGACCTACCAGGTTGTAGTTGCACCTCAGATTAAATATCACATATAGTTGCAAAAGGGTAGGGAGTGTAGGACTGGAGGTGTAGCTTAAGTGATACAGTGGCTGCTTTGCAAGCACCAAGCCAAAAAAAGAGTAGGAAGTACAAATGTCAATTTTTTTTAAAAAAGAAACATCTTCCCACTTGCCTCTAGCATAGACTCACAAATGATTTTTATTTTTTGGCAATATTGGGGTTTGAACTTGGGTGTTAGCACTTGAGCCATGCCGCTAAGCCTCCAAAAGTGAATTACTTCACCAAGGGTAAAATCTCCTAATCTTTCCCAGAAAGAGGCCTGCAAACTAAAGTGAGTGGATAGCTGGGCACCAGTGGCTCCCACCTGTAATCCTGGCTACTCAGGAGGCAGAGATCAGAAGGATCGCAGTTAAAAGCCAGCCCAGGCAAATAGTTTGGGAGACCCTATCACAAAAAAGGGCTGGCGTAGTGACTCAAGTGGTAGAGCATCTGCCTAGCACGTGTGAGACCCTGAGTTCAAGCCCCAGTACTGCCAAAAAAATAAATGAATAAATAATAAAGTGAGTGGATGCAGGAGGCAGTGTATTTCTGAGAGATATTCATTCATTCATTGTCATATTGTCACTGGCTGGCTAGAGGCTACCAGTGAGCTGTTCCTCACCTTCAGGGAGTTTACATCCTAGTGGAGGAGACAGATGATAAATAAGTACATAAATAATAAGGCGATAATTGGGCTGGTGGAGTGGCTCAAGTGGTTGAGTACCTGCCTGGCAAGCATGAGGCTCTGAGTTCCACCAAAAAAAAGTAAAATAAAATAAGATACTTACAGATCATGATAAATGTTCTGAAGGGAATAACCAGAATGATGAGAACATAAGTGGGAAGGGTCACTTTTAGTTTAACTTATTATGGAGCAATTCCATAATACAGAAGAAAATGTTATGGTGATCCCTATCCCCATCACCCAGTTGAGCAGTTCTCAGATTACAGCTAATCTTGTTTCATGCATTTCCCTTCACTACCCCCAATCGTATTTTTTCAGATGTCACATTTAATGTTTTCACCACTGAACTTCAAATATACACTGTACAACGTGACCAGAAAGTGCCATGGTAATTAACCAGCCAACCTCTGAGATTGTACCTTTTATAATAGTGTCTTCTTGGGCTCTTCTGACATCTGCTTTTTTTTTTTGGCGGTACTGGAGTTTGAACGCAGGGCTTCACACTTGCTAGGTAGGCGTGATACCACTGGAGTTGTGATACCACTGGAGTTACGCCTCCAGCTCCGTCTTGGGCTCTTTTGATACTGAATATGTTTCTCACTCAAGTGAACTGAAATGTTTCAGTTGGGTTGATTTTCAGGAGCCTCATAAAAAAACAATGATATTGGATCATGTTTGTTTAGTGAGTCAATGTTTGTTTCTTTCACAGCAAACACAAAGTGACCAGAAGTAATTATTTCATTGAAGTTAAAACTTCTAAACATAACCTATTAATAGTCTTCATATTCACCTCAGATCACTCAAGATGAAAATACTCTGCTAGATACAGATAACTTACAAGAACTTTTTTTTTACAAGAACTCTTAACAGTGAACTTTCACAATACACACCAAGATTTTTTCCTTGATCAGTTTTAATGTCCATTCATAATTCTTGTACAGGTGAAAAAAATATTCAATTTTCTCATCTTTTTTTTAATATAAAAGTTGGAAGGGGCATTCAAGTTTCAATTCTCAAGTCTCCACATTAAACTTAAAAATAGTCATCATCAGCACGTGGAAGTAAGCAAGCCAAGCTGTATAAGTCCACGTGGTAGAGACCATCAGTTTATATTCAGAGCTGGGTGTAGGTGGCTCATGCAACTTGGGAGGGTCGAGGTACGAGGCCAGCCCAGGCAAATAGTTCTTGAGATCATCTCCAAAATAACCAGAGCAAAATGGACTGGAGGTGTGGCTCAGGTGATAGAGCACCTGCTTTGCAAGTGTGAATAAAAATTGTATTCACATATACAAATACACAGAAGAATCCAGTATTCCAACAGTAAAAAGAATTTGTCTTTTTTTGATAAAAACTCCCATAGTGTTGCCTAAAGACATAAACACATTTGACATAATTTCCTTTGTGCCTTTTTGTGTCTTTAACTTATGAAATTTGTTTTTGTCTTTTATACAATTGAATTATTTTGAAGGAAATGCAAATACTATATCATTTGTCTATATACTTCAGTAACCAGAATATCATTATCCTGTATAAAAATTAACAGTAATCCTTAATCTCAAGTAAGTGGTAGTGTTCAATTTTCTTTCATAAGTGTTTTTTTAAATTGTTTGAACTGGTCCATAGAGTGCAATTGGTTGATATGATTTGTAAGTTACTTTTATCTTATAGCTTCTCTAGACATCGCCTTTTTTTTTTGTGGTATTGGGGTTTGAACTCAGGGCCTATGCCTTAAGCCACTCCACCAGCCCTTTTTTACATTGGTTTTTTTTTTTTTTCTGAGACAGGGTCTTGTGAACTATTTGCCTGGGGCTGGCTTTGAACCGTGATCCTCCTGATCTCTGCCTCCTGAGTAGCTAGGATTTATAGACGTGAGCCACCGGTGCCCAGCTAGACATCACATTTGATATTTTGATTGGAGACCTGAAAAATGAATGTGGTCATTGTAGGAAGAACATTCCAGATAGTGGGAAAAGTACCCGTAGGCTATGAAGTGGAAGGGGGTGTGGTCAATGTGAAGAAAGAGAATGCATCTGGTGCGCAACAAGCTAGGGAGAAAACATTTGGTGATAAGCTATTTCTCAAAATAACTGCTAAAATCAGAGCTGTCTAGGTTCCCTCACAGTCCTGCCTAGCTTCTCAGAAAGTAATACAACTAACTGGAAACTGAACTAGGTCCTTTTGACTGACTACAGAAGTGTCTTTGTCTTTTATACTTCTGTGACCTCAAGCTTTCATTGCAGGCTGCAGGAATGATTTACCCAAGTATATAATAATGCACTTTTCAAAAAACCATGAATTTTAAGGGTTGAGGTAGTAGAGTTCCCCTCCCCCAGTGGTAGAGTGGTTGACGTAGCATGTACAAGGCCCTGGGTTTGATCCCTAGCACCTCAAAAATAACTGAATTTTGAGATAATTGTAGCTTTGCATGCAGTTGTAAGAAGTAGTGGAAAGAGATCCAGTGTACGCATTACCTTGTTTGCCCAAACTTCCCAGCCATATTTTTTCCCAAACTATAGTTTCCTTGTAAAAACAGTGGAACAATCAGCATATTGACAATGGTAATCGTCAAGGCACCAAATGTATCACTAGAAGGATCAGTGCTGTTGCCCTGTGGTAAGTACGCCTCCCTTTCTCCTCCCTGCTGCGCTTTGCTTTATGTATGGTGCTGTCTGGTCTTAGTGTCTGAGTAACACTGGCCTCATAAAATGAGTTGGAAAGTGTTCCCTTGTCTGTTTTCTGGAAAAGATTGTATAATATTAGCATTGATCCTTTAAATGCTTTGTAGAAGTTTCCAGTGAACCTGTCATTGTCAGTTTTCCTAGAGGTTTACCAATTTTATTGATTCTCCCCCCCCACAAACCAGCCTTTTGTTTCATTGATTTTTCTCTATTTTCCTGTTTTCACTTTCATTGATTTTAGCTCTTGTGGTTCTCTTCCTTTGCTTGCTTGTTTTATTTTGTTCTTTTTCTAGTTTCTAAGGCAGGTACTTAGATTTTTTTTCTTTTTGTTTTCAGACAGGATCTTATTGTGTAGACCAGGCTGGCACCAAACTCGCCACCTGCCTGCCTCAGCCTCCCAAGTACTGGGATTACAGGTGTACATCACCACACTCAGTAGCAACAGAGATTGGTTTTTTTCCAAATGGAAAGACTTTTTTTCTTTGGAGGGACTGAGGTTTGAACTCAAGGCTTTGTATTTGCAAAGCAGGCCCTCTACCACTTGAGCCACACCTTCAGTCCATTTTCCTTTGGTTATTTTTTTGGAGATGGGGTCTCAAGAACTAATTGCCCAGACTGGCCTGAATCCATGGGGTTTTACTCATTGCCTCACGTTTGTTAGGCACTATACTTGAGCCATTCCACCAGCCCCTGTTTCTGGTCTTGAATGTTTTGGAGATAGGGTCTCTCTATTGCCCAGGCTGGCCTCAAACTCTGATCCTCCTGATCTCTGCCTCCCCAGTAGCTAGGATTGCAGGTGTGCTGTACCAGTGCCTGGCTAAATAAATTTTTTCTTGGTAGGGAACCAAGTATGGCTATTGCACTTCATTATATTGTATAGTCCTACTCTGTAACCTGAGTAACTTCCTATGGAATTTTTATTAAATAATTCTTACTGATTGGACCCGAGTAGAGTTAGCATGGAATAAGGTCAAGGACCACCTCTGTTTTATTTGCCATGTATCCCTAGCACAGTGACTAGAAATGAGCATTTAATTTTTATTGAGCAAATTGTCCATATGGCAGAAGCAGTACTTCTAGACAGCATCATTACAGATGATTCATCTCTTATGATAGTCCTACTTTCATTATGTATGGGTTATTTTACAGCCACAGGCAAAATATCAAATTTGCATTTTCATCATGGTTGCCTTGTGAAATTACTATCCAATTATTTGTGCATACTTTCAACTAAAGTCACATGTATAAACTCATGACATTTGATTAGTACACTGGAGTAGGCTGAGACAGTAAGCTACTTCTGGTATAGGGTCTCCTTCAGGCGATCTTCCAGAGTCTGAGAGGGTCAGTATTCACGGAGCCGTAACCCACCCCCAGCATACTTGGAGGGAAGCTATGGTTTTTAGACCTTACTATCTGTATGGTATAGTTCTAAAAAAATCTATTTTGTTGCGTTTTTCTGTCTATCTCCATTTTAGTGTGGAAATTGGCGAAAGTGTACGTGGAGAAGATGTCTACATTGTTCAGAGTGGTTGTGGTGAAATTAATGACAATCTTATGGAGCTTTTGATCATGATTAATGCCTGCAAGATTGCTTCAGCCAGCCGGGTCACTGCAGTCATCCCATGCTTCCCCTATGCCCGGCAGGATAAGAAGGATAAGGTAGGAGCAGAATCTCGTTTTTCTTTTTCTGTGTGTGTATGCATGTGTGTGTTGTGGGGGGGACTGAACCCAGAGCCTCATGCACTCTGGGTGAGTGCTCTACGGCTAAACTATGACTTGAGCCCAGAATTTTTTTAAGCAGAAGGAGGAACACTGCCTAGTCACAGATTCCTTAACTATCACATACTTAAGGGGGGTATTTTTAAAATCACATTTTCTCTAGTATTGTCCTATCTTCAAAACAATAGACATAATTAGTTTATATAAAGCAACAGATTTGTATTCTGTATTTTATTCAATTCATATGCGACTCAGCTCACTGGTATTTCTGATTGTATCAGTAAGACTAAGCACCAATCCCGTGGAATACACATATATATATAAATATATGGCAGTACTGAGGTTTGAACTCAGGGTTTCAGGCTTGCTAGGCAGGCGCTGTACCACTTGAGCCAGTCCACCAGGCATTTTTGTGTTCAGTATTTTTGCCCAGGCTGGCCTCAAACTGTGATCCTCCTGATCTCTGCCTCCTGAGTAGCTGGAATTACAGGCATGAGCCATGGGTGCTCAACTGAGTAGAATATTTTAAAACTATAGTAAAGCCTCTAGCTAAGCACTGTGGTGCACACCTATATTCCCAGGCACGAAGGAGGCTGAGACCAGAGGCTCTCTAGAGCCCAGGAGTTCTAAGGCAACACAATGAGACTCTATCAAACAAAACCAAATAAAAACCCACAACAAAAAACTGTAGTAGATCCTCTCAAATGTCACAAGATCAGGCTCTAGTTGTAATCCTTTTGTAAAACCTGACGCCTGTTACACGAATACTTGGTCTCATATCTGGCATACTAGAGGATAAAGCGTATACATAAAACTCTGTAAGTCTGTTATAATTTGCCCAATTTTTACACACAATACCAGGGAGAAAGGCCAGATATTTTTATTCCAAGTGATTACAGAGGAATGGGCATGGACTTTGCTGTTGTACATGTGTTTACTTCTATTTAAGGTAGTTGTGGTTGCTGGAAAGTTGACCTCCAAATGAGTCAGGTAGTGATGCAATTTATAAATAAAACAGTCAATTTCCATCTTGTGATGTATCTTTAAAGTTGGCATCTTGGGTGTTATACATATATGAGTATGTGTGAATTACAATATTTTTTGGTGGTACTGGTTTCTGGGTTGAACTTAGATGCTTGAGCTTGCTAGGCAGACATTGTACCTCTTGAGCCATGCCCCAAGCCCTTTTTTGCTTTGATAATTTTTCAGGTAGTATTAAATGTGTTTTGCCAGAGCTGGCCTGAACTGTGTTCCTCGCACATAAGGAGATGACCCTATCCGAAAAATAAAACAAAAAAGGACCGGCGATGTGGCTTAAGTGGTAGAGCACTTGCACATGACATCCTGAGGTCAAAACCCAGTACCACCAAAAAACATTTTAGTAAAATTATTATTATTATTATTATTATTATTATTATTATGAGCTGGGGATTGAACTCAGGGCTCTACCAAAACAAATTTTATTAAGGGCTGGAGATGTGGCTCAAGCGATAGAGTGCCTGCTTAAAAAAAAAAAAAAAAAAGAAGAAAGCTTTGGAAAAAATATTTGGGGGGTGGGGCTGGAGATTGTGGCTCAAGTGGTAGAGCATTTGCCTCACAAATACTAGGCTAAGTTCAGTCCCCAGATTTGAATAATACCTTGGAATAGGTTGGAATATATATATTAAGTTATGAAAACAAGCTAAGAACTTAATTTTCTTTACTAAAATATGGAATATATTGATGTTCCACTTAATACTTGTTCTAGATTATGATCTACTCAAAATTAATGGCCACATCTCCACAAATTTCCTGTAGGTACTCATTAAATAAATGTTTCTCAACAAAGGAATTGTTTTCCAAATTGGCTTTTTTTCCCTCTCCTCCCATTTAGAGCCGGGCTCCGATCTCAGCCAAGCTTGTCGCTAATATGCTATCTGTAGCAGGTGCAGATCACATCATCACCATGGATCTACATGCTTCTCAAATCCAGGTATCAATGGAAGCTAAATATTGGGCTTAGAAAGGTGGGAGGACAGCCGGGCATGGGGGGGGTGTGTCTGTAGCCCCAGCTATTTGGGAGGCTGAGGCGGGAGGATTGTTTGAGCCCACAAATTTGAGACCAGCCTAGACAATATAGGAAGACCTGTCTCAAAAAGTGGGGAGGGAGGGAAGGAGGGCAAGGGAAAAGGGAAAGCTGAAAGACTGCAAGGAGCCAAAAACTGCCCAAGTACAGCTCAAGTAAACTGGTCGTCGGCATTTTAAAGATTTTAAGCCAAGAGCATGATGCAAATAAGATCTTAAATCCATGATATAACGCCTTGTCCCTGGCAGGTGCTCAACAAATGGTAGCTCTTAATTGTCATGAGTATTATTCCTCTTGAATAGTCACTGCCTTAAATTTGGATGTTGGAACCTACTTTCGCTTACAAACCCAGAGTAAGGAGAGTAGAATGCTCCATTTATTTTATGGTATTTAAGTAGATTTTCAGATCATTATCATTGGAGTCTTATGACAATGCAATGAGGTACATAGGACAGAGGATTGTATCTATTTTCCAGAAAAGAGACAACGTAATTGAGAAATACAACTAGAGTATATCAACTTCAATTAGAACATAGATTTCCTGACATCTAGTTACTCCATGTGACTATTATAAACAGCTTCCACCAAATTTATGTCCTGTGAGATCTCTAGCTGGTTTACCTGTTATGCTCGCTCTGTGTTGAGTGGCTTGTATTAACTCATGGGCCGGCACGTTGACCAGGTAGTTTTTATGGTCTTGGCTGAATTTAGCTGTTCTGCACAAGTTCTCATTCATGTTCGTTCCTAGGGTCAGATATGGGTCAGTTGAAGGTTAGCTTTGGTGATCTTGACTAGGTGCTGTCAGCCATAATTTGAGGGGGCTATTTTTACCATCTACCATCCCAGACTTGCCTTCCCATCAGTGTGGATGTTGCAGTATTCTCCATGTACTTTCTTTGTGTTAGCTATTTGCAAATGGATGAGAGGTAAAACCGAAGCAAAACTGACCCAGCTTTTTTTTCCAGGGCTTTTTTGATATCCCAGTGGACAATTTGTATGCAGAGCCAGCTGTCCTGAAGTGGATTAGGGAGAATATCTCTGAGTGGAGGAACTGCACAATTGTTTCACCTGATGCTGGTGGAGCTAAGAGGTATGGCTGAAATTACTGTTGTTCCCAATGTACTGGGAAATCTTTCAGATGTTTGTATCACAAAGTGATGTTTTCCTATCCAAGAGGCAGGTTTTTTTTTTTTTTTTTTTTTTTTTTTAGCAGCACTGGGGTTTGAACTCAGATCCTCACACTTGCTAGGCAGTTGCTCTTACCACTTGAGCCACTCTGCCAGCCCTTTTTTGTGCTGAGTTTTTTCAAGATAGGGTCCATGAAGTATTTGCCCAGGGCTGGCTTCAAACCTCAATCCTTCTGATCACTGCCTCCCAAGTAGCTAGGATTATAGGTGTGAGCCACCAGCGCCTGGCCAAGAGGCCATTTTTAAGTACTTCAGAATGGATACACCAGTGGCTGGGACATGAGGGATATTGAGTCACTACTTGGAAGCCAAGACAGACAGGAGGCCCTAAAGAGTTGTGGTAGCCGCTTTGTACCACATAGTAGTGGATAAGTAAGCTTTTGCATACCTTATGCTGTTGGTTAGACCATTTTGATCCTTGAGATTAAAATATTAAGCAAGGAAGAAAATAAAGTGTGGTATTTTAACTTAAAGCCAAGACCTTAAATTTTTAGACAAACTCATTGCTAGGGATTGTCAATTCCAGTGCTTTACAGCCCACGTGGTGCAGACTAAGAGCCCTTGATTGTCTTAGTGGATTCCTCCCTAGCAATGCATACAAAAGCAGAGAACATGAGTTCTGTTATCCAGCCAGATGTATGTCTTGATGAACCCATGTAATTGCTGGTTACCATCTGTGATAGAGACAACATTGAAAAATCCTCACACTGATAGTCATCACACTTGTTGTCTTGACTTCTCAGGCATTATCTTTACATCTTGCCAAGGGACTTAGATAAATAGTCACATTTGAAATAATCAAGCAGGATTTCTTTCACGTTGAGTACAAGAAAACTACCTTCAGCAGATGGCTTACTGCTTTAGATAATTTTTCTCATTACAATTGCCTTATAGTGATGGAGTGGAGTGAGTGCCTATCACTCCTGTCTTGGCAGGGTTTGGGGAGTAGGTAAGGATGCCTATGCGATTGTGATTTGCACAGTTCTCCCTTTTCTGCTTTATTGGTAACAGTGTTGGCCAATAAACATGGAGGGTTTGAGACACTTGAAATAAGTGATTATGCACTGGCCTCAGATAAGGAATCATTCCAGGCCATTTGGTTACCACTGATGTTTGGTGCCTAGACAATGGTGATGGAGAGCACAGAGTGTGGGTTTGGTTAAATCAAGGTACAAATGTTGCCTAGAATTGTGGTTCAAATCATATTATATGGTCACAAGTTATCCCTTATGCAGCAAAAACTTGAGTATGTGACCAGAGTCACAGGGAAACAGGACATAATGCCAGTTTGATCAGTTGCTACATTTAAAGACAAGACAAGCTGGTGGAGTGGTTCAAGTGGTAGAGTGCCTGCTTAGCAAGCATGAGGCCCTGAGTTCGAACCCCAGTAGCACCAGAAAAAAAACCAACAACAAACAAAATCTGTTATAAACAAGACAAAACCCAAAGCACAGGCTTCTTCATGTATGACAAAGCTGGTCCAGCAGAGCATGGACTAACATGTCACAGGGATAGCCCACTGTCATTTACAGGAAATGGCATTCTGCTATGTGGTACTTTGTCACCAGACAGATTTATCTTCTATTCCACCTACTAGTATGGTTTATGTTCACTTGTAATAAGGGGGGAAAATCAGAATTCTGTTCTTTTGGGGATTGTGAGAGGCTCAATATGTCTAGTTAATTGATACCACTTTCTTTCTAGCATTTGTAAAAGGAATTCCCAAGCTTGGTATCCAGGTACAGTTGACACTGACAGTTGGTGAATATTTTGCCACCATCACAGAGGGGAGCAATGAGGGCACAGGCATTGGAACAGGCTGAGCACTGCTCCTCTCCTGCCAGCTTCGGGTTCATTGTCACCAGATTCAGTCACAGGTCTTCCATGATGGAAATTAAGACAATCTGTACACTCTCCACATTAGTCAACAAGGTCTTCTGTCTTCCCTGCTGTTGCCAATCCATTAAATGAATATGCCTTAGCATATACTGCTTCCCAGAGCTGGTGGAGGTATCTATCTAGACTCTACCCCAAACGATTGATCATCCAAGTTTGAAGAACACATTCCTACACTGTTACTGGTGTATAAAGGCATGATTCCATAACCAGTTTGGGCATTTTGCCTTTGAGGTGCTTTCTTCCAGCCCTGGAAAAGCTTTGGTTTCAAGAAGTATTCTTCCTCAGAAAAGCAGCCCATCCTTTTGTGAGTGCAGTGCTGGGGACTGAACCCAGGGCCTCATGCATGCTAGGCAAGCACTCTATCACTGAGCTACACCCCCAGCCCTACCGGTCCTTTCTTAATAGAAGCCACATACACATGTATATTACTTAGCTGTGAACCTCTCCCCTGTTTTACAGAGTCACTTCCATTGCAGACCGGTTGAATGTGGACTTTGCCTTGATTCACAAAGAACGGAAGAAGGCCAATGAAGTGGACCGCATGGTGCTAGTGGGGGATGTGAAGGATCGAGTGGCCATCCTTGTGGATGACATGGCTGACACATGTGGCACAATCTGCCACGCTGCTGACAAGTGAGTACTGAGTGGCAGGGCTGGTAGTTAGACATAGAAAGCTAAGAATTGCTGTCTGAATGACTTCAGCCTACTGATTGTTTTTGGAGCTAAACTGAACTCATCACCTTTGGCTTAAATTATAATACATAGGTAAATTGTACTCTTTTTCAAATGTTCTTAGTTTTTATAGTATTAAACTATAAACAGATATTCCTCTTATGTTCAATAAACCTAATGTTAAAGTTGAAACTAGGGCGGAGGGGGTGGGGGCAGGGGGGAGAAATGAACCAAGCCTTGTATGCACATATGAATAATAAAAGAAAAATGAAGAAAAAAAAAGTTGAAACTACTGTAAAGCAAAAACACATTTTTTTCACTTTTATTAGCATATATTAATTGTCCAAAGGAGTTTCATTGTGATACTTCCATTCATATATATGATGTACTTTGATCAAATTCCATTCTTCAAAGACACATGGAACCTTCCTAGCTTACTGAGCATCCTGGCTTAGCAACACAGTCCACTGTAGAGTATCAGTTGTTTTCCCAGTAGTTGACTAGGAGCTGCAGGTCACTGCATCTGCCCAGCTTTGAGCAGTATCGACCAGTATCATACCACTACTGCTACCCTGGGGATAGATCCAAATTCCAAGTATGAGTTCTACTGAGTACATACTGTCAAGTGCATTTGCCAAGTCCAAAAAAAATCAAAAGGCACAAATCATCCATGTAACAAGATTAACAAGAGTTGTCATTTTAACCTTTTGGTTTTTTTGTGGGGTGGTACTGAGGGCTTTAACTCAGGGTCCTGAGCTTGCTAGGCAGGTGCTTTGCCACTTGAGCCATGCCCCAGCCCTTTTTTTTTTTTTTTGCTTTTAGTTATTTTTCAGATAGGGTCTCATGTTTTTTTTCCTGGGGCTGGCCTCAGACCACAGTCCACCTACCTATAGCAGTCTGCATAGCTGGGACCACAGGCATGCACCATCACACCAAACTTATTGTTGAGATGTGAGTCTCGCTAACTTTTTGCCCAGGCTGGCCTCTCACGACCTTCCTGATCTCCACCTCCCAAGTAGATGTGAGCCACCATGCCTGGCTTCTATAATGGTTTTGTAAACTCCTGAGAGTCTGTGCATGGCACATAAAAGATACTAAAAAAATGTACTTAGATGTTGAATGATTCCTGGCTCGGATCCTTGAGTTTACATTTATAAAACCCATTTCATCCTTCTATTACTAAGGAACTGATTAGTGTAACAGGTGAACTCCCTGAGATGTCTGTGGCTTACCACAATGGTTTCTTTCTCATCCATGGCACACCATGCAAGGATTACTGCCTGGACTCATTTTCAGGGACCCAGATTCTTTCCACTCTGTGATTACCTTGGAAGACAGTTCCACTTTGCCCAGCCAGAAAGGGAAAAGAACAGAGAATCACTTCTGGAAAACTGTTACAACTTCTGCAAAGAAGTGGCTCCGTGTAGATTTCTGTCCTTAGTAGGGACAGAACTGTGTCGTCTCAAAATTCATGTGTTGAGCCCTAGCCCCAAGTGTGATGGAATTTGGAAATTGCCTTTGGGGAGATATTTTGGTATAGATGAGGTCCTGAGGGCAGAGCTCTCTTGATGCAATTAGTGCCCCTAGGAGAGCTTGCTGGCAACATCCCCTGTGCATGTGTCCAAGAAGAAGTTCTGTGAGTGCACAGCAAGGTGAAGCCACCTACAATCCAAGAAGAGAGGGTTCAAAATGAAACTGATTTTGTCTGTACATTGATCTTAGACTTGTCAGCCTCCGAGACTGAGAAATAAGTTTTTGCTTGAGCCATCCAGTCTATGGTATTTTGTTATGAAAGACTAATTCACTCTTTGTGCCTAACTCAGATTCCATAGTGACATGTAAGATTAATCTAAATCAACTGTTTTTCCTCTAGACTTCTCTCAGCAGGAGCCACCAGAGTTTATGCTATCTTGACTCATGGAATTTTTTCTGGCCCGGCCATTTCTCGCATCAACAATGCATGTTTTGAAGCAGTAGTAGTCACTAATACCATACCTCAGGAGGACAAGATGAAGCATTGCTCCAAAATACAGGTGAGGGTGAGATTCTTACAAAACAAGCCTTCCTTAACTGTTCAGGAGGTGATTCTGTATGTTGAATTAGATACCTGAATTCTTTTTTGGGGGGAGGACAACAATACTAGGGCTTGAACTTAGGGCCTTGTGCTTGCTAGGGAGGCGCTCTACTACTGGATCCACTCCTCAACCTTCTTGTGGTCTTAAGATTATCACTTTTTTTTTTGGTGCTACTGGCATTTGAACCCAGGGCCTCATGCTTGCTAAGCAGGCACTCTACCACTTGAGCCACTCTGACAGCCCTTTTTTTGTGTTGGGTATTTTTTTTTTTTGGTGTGGTACTGGAGTTTGGACTTAGGGTCTCACACTTGCTAAGCAGGCACACTACCACTTGAGCCACCCCACCATGTGTTTGGTATTTTCAAGATAGTGTCTCATGCTAGGCACCAGTGGCTCCCACCTGTAATCCTAGCTATGCAGGAGGCAGAGATCAGGAGGATCGAGGTTTGAAGCCAGCCCAGGCAAATAGTCCATGAGACCCTATCTCAAAAAAACCTATCACAAAAGAAGGCTGGTGGTGTGGCTCAAGTTGTAGACCCTGAGTTCAAATCCCAGTGCTGCAAAAAAAAAAGAAAGAAAGAAAGAAATGGGGTCTCAGGAACTATTTGCCTGAGTTGGTCTGGAACTGTGGTCCTCCTGATCTCTGCCTCCTGAGTAGCTAGGATTACAGGAGTGAGCCACTGACACCTGATGAGCCCAAGTCAGAGTTTTTCCTCCATTATTGGCATCTGGACTCTTTCCTAAGTGGTTATAGGTAAGAAACATAATAAAGAGTAGCTAAATGTGGGCTTAAGAGGAAGGGTGCACACTAGGCTGCTCACCAGCTCTGCTCCTCTGTACTAATCTGTGCTTTCTTGCCTTTGTAGGTGATTGACATATCCATGATCCTTGCAGAAGCCATCAGGAGAACTCACAATGGAGAGTCTGTTTCTTACCTGTTCAGCCATGTTCCTTTATAATAGAGTAACTTCCTGAGGCTTTTAAAAAATAAAACCAACCCCACCCTTTGCTTTCCCTTGGTATTTGATGACAAATTCACAGAAGACCCAGCTTGTTCCTGTGTAGCTCTGTACATCCCACAACAGGTGTATTAGAATTCATTTTAAATTGGGGAAAGACAGATTGAGATTAACTGCTGGGATTTCCTACCTGAGTTGTCTCATTCTGGCTTCCTTGATGATTTTGTGAGCCCTGCAGCTTTAACTAGAGCTCAGCTACTGTGAGATTTGCAAACTTTTGAGGGTGTTCTGTAAAGCTGTTTGAATGTGCGTGGCAAATGCTTGGGGTTTTTTTTTGTTGTTCAGAACAAGTAGCAACGAAGCCACTCCATGTACGACAAGTCCTCCAAGGTCTTTGCGACATTACAGCAAGAGCCCTGAGCAATGCAAAACATAGTCCAGGTAGCTGAGCACCCTGGGAGGCAGGAGCAGGCAGTTCAGCTTGAGTAGCTGTTGGGTGGGATCTTGGGGGGTGGTCATTGTATAAAAAGACTCTAGGGAGGAAGAAGCCTGATCCATCATCTGCTTGACTGTGTAGCTTGAATTCTTTGTACCTATTCCTTTCTATTTGGCTTTACCTTAATAGCCATCTTGATGTTTTCCTGGCCAGATCTTCTTAGGTCCAACTGATCATTGTACCAGTCTTCTGGAACACAAACTCGCTTCCCGCTGTGTAATTGCTAGCATTCTCATTAGGTAATTTGCTGTAGCTTAATCTTCAGTCTACTACCACTGTGGTAGTAGGTTTTAGGTGGTATCATAGTGCCTTTTGACTAATTTCACTATTTAATTTTCATCTTTCCTTGGATCCGTTTGGCCTCTCAAATGACCTGAGATTTCTGTTTTTGAAAATTGATGTCATTGTCTCTTGTAGAAGAAACTAATAAAATGTCTCTGTGTGTGTGATTTTGGGTCTATATCATATCCATACAGATTTCTCTGCTTAAGGTTTGGTATAGAAGTCTTGCTGTTCAATGATATTGGTTTCCAAACCATGTTAGCTACCTTGTTAAGACAAAACTGCAGGCGTTTTATTCAGCTGCAAGACTTTAAAGTATCTGGGGTTTGCTGAAAATCAGATGGAATCTCATTCTGTGCAGTGTACCAGAATTATGGGAGGATAGATTATGCCTGCTGGCTCTCTGCTGCTTGTTCCTGGGACCCAAATTAGGTATTGGCTTATAAAAGGGGAGTAGTTTCTGTGATTTCTTCATTCCGAACTAATTTTGCCAAGTGTGGTATTTTACCTCCATTGATCAGTGCCTAACATTTAATTTCTGCCCTTCTAAGTAAAATTATTTTGATTTTTTTTGTTTGTTTTTATTTTTATTTTTTTATTTTTATTTATTTTTTTTTTCATTTTTCTTTTATTATTCATATGTGCATACAAGGCTTGGTTCATTTCTCCCTCCTGCCCCCACCCCCTCCCTTACCACCCACTCCGCCCCCTCTCTCTCCCCCCCTCAATACCCAGCAGAAACTATTTTGCCCTTATCTCTAATTTTGTTGTAGAGAGAGTATAAGCAATAATAGGAAGGAACAAGGGGGTTTTGCTGGTTGAGATAAGGATAGCTATACAGGGCATTGACACATTGATTTCCTGTGCGTGTGTGTTACCTTCTAGGTTAATTGTTTTTGATCTAACCTTTTCTCTAGTACCTGTTCCCCTTTTCCTATTGGCCTCAGTTGCTTTAAGGTATCTGCTTTAGTTTCTCTGCGTTAAGGGCAACAAATGCTAGCTAGTTTTTTAGGTGTCTTACCTATCCTCACCCCTCCCTTGTGTGCTCTCACTTATAATGCATCTCAAAAATTTAAATGAGTTTCTTTGTGCATCATCAAATAAGGATGCTCTTTCTTTGCCTCTGGGAAGCTCTGTGATTCTGGAGCTGGGTAGACAGTGCTCCTAGGTATATGAAGCCCGAGTCTGCTTTTGCTCATTTGATTTTTGCTTTTGTTGAATATTGTGATAATCTACATTAGAATTCACTTTTTGACAAGTGATTGAAGAGCGACTGAAGAAGCTGGGTTGTTGTAGTGCAATCTGTAATCCCAGCACTCAGGAGGTTGGGGCAGAAGGATGGAGATTTTGAGGTGAGTTTGGATAAATAGTGAGACCCTGTCTCAAAAAAAAAAAGTAGCACTGAAGTAAGCTATGAAATCTTTGCTCTGAAGAAACTGATGGAGCATCATCACTTGCTGATTTTGTTATTTCCTGAAGCACTGGATATGTTAAGTCAAGGTTCATCATTTCAGTAATTCCCCACTTGTCCACAGGGGATACTATCTGAGCCCCCCCACCCCAGTGGATGCCTGAAACCAGAGGTATTACAGGACCCTATATATTACTAGGTTTTTTCCTATACATAGACACTGTATAACAATTCTAACTACTGTAATAAAATTGTCAGCATAACCACTCTTGTGCATTGGAGCCATTATTAAGTAAAAGATGGATTACCTGAATGTGAGTACTATGACCCAGGGACACTTGATCTGATAACCAAGACTGCTAAGGACTGGTAGCATACATGGTACAGATTCGCTTAAGCTGGACAAATCTGATTTACACCCCAGGCAAGGCAGCATGAAATGTCGTCATGCTACCCAGAAGAGCACACAATTTAAATGGATTGTTTTACTTCTAGAATTTTCCATTAATATTTTGGTTTGCAGTTGACTGTGGAAAGAAACTGACTAAGGGGAGGCCACTGTATTTTGACATAAGATGTCTACTGTGGGCCTCTGAGTAATCCATTCCGAGAATGAAGTTTTGAGGTCAGTCAGGAAAGGACCTCAGTCCTATGCCTGGGGGGAGGTCAGTGTTCTGTGTGACACTAAGCAAAGTGCCATAAGTACCTTTTTTTGCAATGGGAGAAGCCCAGTGTCTTGGATAGCGATGTGTTTGCAGCTGTAAGGAACTGCAGCAGAAGCAGATCCTGTGAGGCCTGAGAAAGAGGCAGCACCAGAGTTGAGTACAGTTGAGGAAACTACCTGTAATCAGAGCAAAGCGCATCACCCAGCTCTGTCTATACTCTGTGCCTCCCCCATCCCTAGAACCAGAGAAAAAGGAATTGCCTGGACCGAGGCTGGCATATCCCAAAGCCAATGCCTCTAAAAGATTGGCTTCATCTCAAAGTAGGGTGCTACTCTTTCCAGACTTGAACACCAAGTGTTCTGCTGAAATGTTAACTCAGCCCTCAATGACTTGGTGGTTATTAGACTTGGGAAAAGCCGAAGAGTTCACAAAAGGCAGTTTGTCCTACTGGCTTGCCCTCCTGCCATCTCCCCCTCACTGGCTCCCAGTTGTGAGGCAGGGAAGAGGCCAATAGAAGGGAAGCTGATGATGGGTGGCTCCTCCCCCACAAAAAACTTAACA